ATTGGGCTCTCGACGAGAAGTATTCTCGATTCTTGAAACTTCCATTGTATTCCTAAATTGACAATTCTTGGCTATATAGCCTTCTCTATCGCAAATTTGACATTTTGGAAGCTGAAATTTGCATTCCAAATATGTATGTCCTTCATTTTTACACTTTGTACACCACACTCCTTCCTTGAGTTCGGTTTGTGAGATTTTCCTGATTATTTCCTTCAAGTCTTGGTTTTTTTTTTATGGTTTCTTCTTTGTCTTGATGCAGATTTCTTCCTCTTCTTCATCATCTGAACTATCAGCGGTTTGTGAAGGTCCCGCTTTTGTGAATTGCTTAAATCGTTTTTCTAATGTCAAGATTTCTTTGGAGAGTGTATCGACATTTTCTTCATCCGAATTCTCTGCTGCAGCAGTGAGTGCTACCATGTTTCTATAGATTTCTTTAAGGCCTTGTATATAGGACAAGCTTTTTCCTTTTTCCGTTATCAAATCCTTGCAACGCTTTGCATGGAACTTAAATCTTCGAGTGTAATCTTGAATACCTTCACGTGGTTTTTGTTTGAAGTTCTTGATGATCTCATAGTGTTCTTCTTGAGTTCCTCCAGTCTGGAATTGTTCTTTAAATTGTGTGATCTTTTCATCATGGGTCATCGCATCATCGAGTGTGTTGTGCCAATCGAGGGCTTTTCCTTTAAGTGTGTATGGGAAAAGTATTTCTCGATGCATTTTCTGTTTGTTCATCTTTACAATTTGATCAAATTGTTTAAGATGCTGGTTTGCATCTTCAGTTTTTCCACTGGTAAAAATGGGATAGGAAATCATGTTCCCTATAGCTGTCGTTGGATTGATGATTGCCATTTGTTGTTGTAGACTTTGTTGGATAAGTTGTTCTTCTGGTGAATTAGGATACGAGTAAAACTCTGGTGCTGTGAATTTTGCCTCTTCAAACGGCTCAAACTCTGGGACATCTTCAATATTTGGTTCTTCTTTGTCTTCTGCCGAGTTGCTTGACTCGGGTACTTGAATTTGTTTATCGTCTTTGTCGTACTTCTTTAATATTGTTTCTAAGATTTGTTGTTGCTGTTCTTCTAACTTTTCCTTTTCTATCTCTTCCTTTCTTACTTCTCGAGTCTTTTGTCGTAGATCTCTTTCCCGGATCTTGATTGGGTCTGGTTTATGTTTATGCATTCAGTTTTCTAAATCTTCTCGACTTAAATGCCGAGGTAAACTTCCTGAATTTTGTGATTCATCTACGGTGTGTTGAATCAAATGTTGTTTTTCATAGATTGCAAAGTCAAGCTCTTATGTCTTGAGTCTTTTGCAGGTTTGTATTTTGTCATATAAATGCAAAGTCAAGCTCTTATGTCTTGAGTCTTCAATCGAGTGTTTGTTTCTCGATTCTTCCCGAGTTTCTTCTCGAGGTCACTTTCATGAGTCTAGCTCAGGAAAGGTCTTGTATTTGAAAATTTTGGTGGTGTAAGTAAGCATGATTTTGTTTGTTGGAAAGAGGTCGGTTGTGTCATAAATTGATCGGTGTAGCTGTTTGCTAGTAATATTTGGTGCTACTCTCCAACTTTGGGATCGAGCAGGTATGCAAACGATTGCAACTCTCTTTAGGAGTCCAATCTTTTCTAAATTCTTGAATAATTGTTTTGGTCTCTTACAATATGTTGGTCGTACGGGAATGTGAGCTCTTACTATGAGCATTTGTGTTTCCCAGTCGATAGTAATATTTGAAAATGCTGAATACAGCAGTGGTTGTATTTTTAATGTTCTCACTTCTCCTTCTCCGATTGATACGGGTTTCCAACTTCGTGATTCCTGTATGTTTTTCTTCTCAAATGGTGTCCACACGTCAAGGTATGGATTCCAACAAATTTTTGTTGCTTTAAGCCTATGCGTGCGTGGATCTATCCAGCGCTCTTTTGCCCACAGTCCTTCCTTTATCTTGAGGTCAGTAAACTCATGTATTGCGCTTCCAACCGGTGTAATAAATCCTCTTACAAATTGTTGTCCAAGTATTTCCTGTATTTCTCTAAGCAGGAACCTTGGAATTTCTTCGTAAATTCGAGTGACAGCGTCTCAAGTATGCCACTCAACTTCTTCCTTAAGATAAATAAATTCTTGATCGATGTACACAAACGATCTCCATGAGAGCTTGAGGATGATTCTCCACATATATAATTCTTGTTTATCTTGTTTTCCTATAAACTGTGCGCTGTGTATGATAGCGCCGTTGCAAATTGGTGTATAGTTCTCCTTGTCTAATGTGTTGTGAACTAAATTAAAGATTCATTCTTGAATCTCAGATGGCAGCTGCCTGATGGCTTCTAAAAAGTTTTGAGAGTCTTGCATCTATCGAGGGATTTTCTCATCTCGCTAGTCTCTCGTGCAAGCCCAAAATTTCCATTTTGCGTCATTGTTATCGCTCTCCTCATGTGGGCTACAAAATTTTGGTGATTGTTCATTCTCTTTTATCATTCCTCCCCTTTGGTTCTTTCAATTTGCTGGACAAATTGTGTAATAGTCGCAAGACTGTTTCTTTGAATTCTTGAAAGCAACTAGTGCTCTGTTTTTCTTTTTTCTTTTAAACTATCGTCACTCTTTTTGGTGTCATTTTCGTGGGCTATTTCTTCTCGTTTCTTTCTCTCTTCCGTTGCGGCAATGTCATCCCTGATTCACAGTCTTGCTTTTGCTTGTTTGCAAGTGTCGCATCACCATTTTGGATAGCATTGCTTGTATGGTTTAGCACAATTTCTGAATCCACACAAAAGGCAGTCCTCGTATCTTGTGCAACTTGTATCTCCAAATGGGCAGTCGTGCTTTTTCATTCTTCCTCCATCTCCAGCCACTAGAATTTTCCCTTAGTCGTTTCCTTATCGCAGATCCTTGGAATATTCGCTTTCTTCAACCTCTTGCCAAAAACAGTTATGTGTATGCTCCAAGTTTTCCACGACTTTGGTGGCTTCAATCTTCAAGTGTTCTTCATCTTTTGGTCTTACGCTCCATTTTTTTTTTCTTCATTCCTTCATGCTCTTCCACCGTTTTTGTTTTACGGTCTTGTTTTTCTTGATTTTTGGGGCTTTTTTCTTCCTATGCCATTTTCTTGTGCGTCTTTGGTCCATTTTCCTTGAAGTTTTGGGGGAAATGATCGTCTTGATCTGCTCTATCCCACCATGGTCGCCAGTGAAAACTCCTAGAAATCTTTGGACTGGGAGGAAAACGACCACACGAGATTTTCCTAGGAGTTTCAAATCTAATCTAGTCCCTAACTCTAAAACTACACTACAAAATGAATGCACTTACCTGCTTGAACCAAGCCAAGTAGAGACTGTGAACACATGCTTGATGGTGCTAGTCCCACGCCTTTGATCCCTTGAAGGCGGTGGGTAAGTAAGACATTACTGTGAATAGCCAAAGAGATAGGTAGAATGACGATGTATTGCAATGTATTTTGTATTAGGGATCTGTCTAAAAACATTCTAAGTCCTACTTTTATAGTCGCTACTGCTCACATCAAGGTTAGGAATACAGTTCTAACCTTGAACCTCTCAAGTTTACTTTCCTAAGCTTGAATCCTCGAGCTTGTCGTTTTCTCCCTTCTCCAACTACTCTAAAAATCATGAAACCAAACTCTAAAAACATGTATAACAATTTTGTAAAAAAGTAAATTTAAAAATCTCACTCAAATACTCTCAAAACACTCACTAGAACTGATAAACATATATCCAAATAAAAAAATATAAAGATTTTGTAACTGCCAATTCCTAAAAAAAAATTTTAGAGCTCGTTGAAAAGCTTTATCTAAGATTTATCTAGCCATGTAAGAAAGATTTATTTGCATTACTTAGAATTGTGTGAGAATTCCTTAAACTTTTTTTACACTCTAAATAAAAGAACCCAAGTAAAAAGCTCTATATATTGTTTGATCTTGGATTAAAACTCACATACAAGGACTCTAGAAAAAGCTTATAAGTAAATCTATCTGATAAGTTAAAGAAAGATTAAAATGGTTAGAATTAAAGTTAGCTTTTAAATACTTCACTAATTTACTCTACTTATCCATCAATATTTACTCTAGCTTTAGACTCTCTAATTCTTATATTATCACCCACTATATAGGTATAATCGACACTAGTTTTCCTAGAGTAATCCCCTTTATTATTCCATATTAATTTACCAAAACCTAGGGTTTGGGAGAGTGCAAAGGACCTGCCAACCCTAAAAGTGGTTTCATTCATTTAAGGAAATGATTGCTTTCCCCTGAATATATTTAGCCCTAGATATATCTGACACTTTAAACATTTAATTTTTTGGTGAGATAGTTTTGACAGGATCTTGTTATCCATCTTAGAGAAGATTATTTTTGAGATTTGCACTGAAAACAAAACAAGAGAAGACGAGAAGTTCTTACCATGGAGTTCCAGGGGATGTAGACGTCGGAGACAGCCGCGGCAAAGTAAAACATAGCATGAGACATAAATCCCAAAGCCCCAAAAGTGGAGCCAAAAGGGTGCCATGTGGTAGTGGCTGAAGCAAAAGCCAAACAAGAGTAACACATTTGGACAAAAAACTCTGATTTGAAAAGTTGAGAGTAAGAGTGGAACTCTCAATGAAATGCTTAAGGAATGAGCATGAAGCAAGCAATAAGTGAATCTCTAGAAAAGGGATACAAGAGGACCAACACATGACATGTGAAAGTGTTAAGATGGAGTCCGAGATAGACCTAAGACAAAGTCCAAAATGGAGTCCAAGATGGACTTGAGCTGGAGTTTGAGACGGACCCGAGATGGAGTCTGAGATGGACCCGAGATGGAGTTTGAAATAGACTTGAGATGGAGTCTAAGATGGAGTCCAGGATGGAACTGAGACAAAGACTAAGACTGAGACCAAGTCTGAGTCTGAGTCTGAATACTAATACAGACTGTTGGTCAAAGTCGTCCTCTAGAGAGGTGGGGGGGGTTGGGTTGTAGGGGGTTCCAAAAGTATAGTAGGGAGAGTGTGGGGGTTGGATTCCAATGGAACCAATTTGGTTAGAAGAGGCTAGTGTGGCCCAGGAAGGCTATACCTATATGTTGCTCCCCCAGGAGATTGAATGGTTGATGCTCCCAATCCAAATGTGGGTGGCACTACTTACTTGGATACCTGGCGTGGCTCATCAGAACTTTGCTTTAACCACCTGGCTAGGGCACCCAAAGGCGGATGGTGGAAAGAGTACCCATGATGCTCCCGTAGGCCCATAATGTTTTGAAATGTCATCCCTAAGTCCTACATTGTGGAAAAGAAGAAGAGTAATCCACTTATGTGGTGACCAAGGATGTGGCCATGCAGTAAGGAAGTCCTAGAGGTCATTGGGACATAGTGGTTAGGCCTGTGAGCCTTAACCCAATGGTAGTGTTAGCAAACATGGTCGTGGACAGAGAGGGATTTAGTAGGGACTAAAAAAGGAATTTTGGGGAAAGTTGTTCCCCATGTCTATAGGCATCCTAAAGATGCTAAGGAATGGATCTGGGATGATCACTCATAAACGAATGGCTTAGTCTTTAAGAGACGGGACTGTGATGTAGTGGTGTTGGACCACCAGTATAACAAAGGTGAATGGGCATGGCCTTAGCATAATGGGGTGGTACCTTTGGGTGTCGGTCATGAAATCAAATACATAGAGCATTTAGACCAAGCACAAAAGTTGAGTGGCATAGATGCCATTCTCGAGGTTAGCAAATCCCCAAGTCTAGAATAGAATTTATGGATGTTGAGAGTGAGACTCCTCTATGTGGTTGAAGTTGTGGTCAAGTGACTAAAGTATAATGGAAAAATTAGTTACTTACAACCTAGTGCCTATTGATAAACCCATTAAGCTATCTATATAGGATCACTAGGTGATTCCATAACTGATAATTAAGGATAAGTTCTTTGGTGGGTTAAGGAACAATGTTCCTAATTCAAAGTAGTGATTTGAATAAATAATATGGTGTGACTTGGTCAAGATGACTAAATGGGAAGGACATCTAAAGGAAATGAGCTATAACAATATCATGGTATGGTGAGTCTAAAAAAGTATTCTGTAAAAAAGACCCATAAAAAGGTCATAGAGTTGGAGTGTGGATAAAGCCTACAGTAGAAAATATTAAGGAGATTTATTAGGGGTGAACACCCTCTAAACTTGGCAAAGCAAAGCTTTTTCTATA